ACAACTTATGTCATATTTATAGTTAGGGCTGTCAACAACCTTTATACGTGGACTTTGGCCAAAAAACTGATGAAGAAAGTTAAGAACGGCAATGTCTTAAGAAATTTTCCTTCGCTCTATTTTGGTGATTAAGAGGTCGCTTAGGAAAAAAGAACCACAGTTCTGTGCTCCACGCACGAGCGTCTATGTATGTCATGCGAAAAACTGTTTCGATGAAGCTGGGCATCACCTGGAAGACTTTCCTGGTATAATAAGTTTCGCCCTCGCATTCGTTGCAGATTCAATGCATACTTTGAGGTTTTGGTGATTGCGAGGTTGGAAGCCGCAAAGCGACGAACATTAGCGCAATCGACAACCACAGGCCCATCTCAGCATCCTCATCTCAGCAGGAGTGCAGCTGCCTTTCGTGATTCTTGTTCAGGGGCCAGCACTCGCTGCCGTATAGCATCGCAGGCCTCACCACTGCCCGATACACCTTTCCTTTCAGTGTTCTGGAGCACCTTCGATCGCAGAGGATCCCAGTGGACTCCCTCCATTTCATCCATGCAGCGTTGATTCGTGCCTTCACTGCCTGATCCACACTTCCGTCGGCTGCCAGATCGCTCCCGAGGTATCTGAAGTCCTCCACTCTTTCGATGATCTCTCCATGGCCGTCTACGATTGGCTCTAATCCCTCTTCAGAGCTCAGGAACTTGGTCTTCCTGACATTCAGCCGAAGCCCATCTTCTGCCAGCACTTCCTGCCATTTTTCTGCACCTTGCCCTGTAGTTCTTCTCTGCTTTCCGCTATCAGGGCGATGTCGTCAGCGTAGAGGATGGTCTTTAATGGTCCTTCCATGAGCCCCTTCACCATGGACATCTAGTGTCAGGAGGAAGAGGAACGGGCTCAGAGCTGACCCTTGGTGCACCCCAACCGTGATGTCCACTTCCTTCGTTAGGCCGTGTGGGGTGCGTATAGCTGCCTTCGCCCCATCGTACATGTCCTTCACCAGAGAGATCAGGTGTTCTGGCACATTCCGCTCCACAGTACTGTTCGAGGTAGTCGGTCGAAACGCCTTCTCCAGGTCAAGGAAGGCTAGGTAGCAGGGTCGGCGCTTTTCTCGGTACTTTTCCATCACTTGCCTCGCGATGAAGATGGCATCCGTAGTAGACCTTTCGGGCATGAACCCGAACTGTTCCTGGGAGATCGGGACCAGCTCCCGCAGTCGAGTCGACCAGTCGCTCGTACAGCTTCATTGTATGAGCAGTCAACTTGATCCCGCGGTAGTTGGAGCAGTCCATCGCGTCACCCTTCTGCTTGAAGATGGGGACGATAGTGCTTGTTCTCCAGGCATCCGGCATCCTTCCTTCGGTGGTTACCGTGTTCAGGAATTGGGTAAGCCATCTGATCCCGTACTCTCCGAGCGCCTTCCATGCCTCGATTGGCACCTTATCTGGACCCACCGCCTTTCCAACCTTCATCTTCCTTAGTTCTTGACGAACCTCATCCTCTGTCCATAGTGAGATAGGGCCAGCCGTCGCCTCTGCTTGCGAGCTGTCTTTGTGGGGGTCCTCGTTCAGGAGCGCTTTGTAGTACTCCTCCCACCTCCTCCTGACTTCAGTTGGCTTCCTCAGGATGGCACCGTTACTGCTCTTCACGCTCTTCACCACCCTAATGTCTTGGGTAGCCCGATGCCGGGCTTTGGCCAGTCTGAAGACGAACTTCTCTGCGTTTCTGCTTTCCAACTTCTCGTACAAGGCGTCCATCTCCGTGTTCTTCGCCTTGGCGACGGCGCCTTAGCGAGCCTCTTGCAACTCCTGTAGGTGGCGAGGTCTTCGGGGCTCCGGGTCTTCTGCCAGCGCTTGTATGCTTCCTTCTTCTGTTTCACGACTCGCTGGACCTCCTCGTTCCAGAACCACGCTGGTGCTGTATCGTTCTTGATCACCTCGCGTACTTGACCGTACCATCCTTGGACTTGTAAATAGAAATGATGTCAGCTGCATTGCGGGGAAGTCTACTGGTCAGTGGTCCCTCAGGATCTCGGGACAACTTCCTTATCCTATCCTCCGTTGTATGTAGCTCATTCTCTGGCTGAAGGATGCAACTTCCACCACCATTTGCTCGTCTTACCTTGTTTGCTTGGGTAAGGTCCTATAATTTAGTGGTCTGCCAGGAGGGGCCTGTGCTGAGGAGCCAGGTTCTTCGCCAGGAATTACCTTGATATCCTTCACAGTTTTGAGGGATGATCTTCTTACCAGTACATGGTCGATTTCCGTCTGTCTCCCTCCACTGCTGTAGGTGACCTTCTGAGTCTCCCTTTTCGCGAAGAACGTGCTGCAGATTGCCAGATCGTGGGCAGTAGCCAGGTCCAGGACCCTCTCTCCCTCGGCGTTCCTCACTCCTATTCCTCTACCTCCGTGCACCCTTTCTGTCCTCTGCCGACGTGCCCATTCAGATCACCTGCTATGGTCAAGTAATCGCTTTCCGGGATCGATCTGATGGCTTCGTCAAGCCTTAGGTAGAACTCGTCCTTCTCACTCTCGGGGCATCCGGTCTGCGGAGCGTACACTGATAGAATTGACCAGTACCCCTCCTTCGTGTCTATCCTCACAGTCATGATCCGATCGCTGATCCTGTTTACTGCGGAGACATGGTCTTTGAGCGGGACTCCGCTACCGCTATGGCCACACCATTCCGCTTGGTGTCTTCCCCATTGTAGTAGAGTTTGACACCTTCTCCGATTTCCCTGGCCTTGGCCCCTTTCCATCGTGTCTCCTGAAGGCATAGGACTTGAATTTTTCTGCGCGTCATCAGATCAGCAACCTCTCGGGACCTTTCCAGTTAGCGACCCTACGTTCACAGTTCCAATTCGAACTAGCTTCTTTGGCCGAGGCCGTTCCCTCCTCGGTAGCCCTCGCATACTGACCACAGAACTCGGGCGGGGGTTCTGCGCGCCACTTCCGGGTGACGTCCTAGCTTTATCACTGATTCTTTGACAACTTTTAGACATGGTTGGTGTGACTGGGGTATTCATCAGCCGGCCTGTCAACCTGGGCCTGACGCTGGTACTAGAACCATTTTTGCAATTTTTGCAGGCATGGTTTAGAGCCTCGGCAGGGATCGAACTCGCGGTTTTTCAGAGGTGCAGACATGAGTCTAACCTCTTAACCACTCGGCTATCCCTGCCTCTGAAGACCGATTAGTGACGCCAACTAATAATCTGGTTTACGGCTTATTGAAGAATGGAGACCGAACTTGTGTTTATAGACCGGGTTGAAAGTAAATGCTGATTGATGTGCGCTAGCAACGAAAGCTTGCCGATCATATTGCCAGCAGCAACTTCATGGCAATTTGGAGTCCAGCAGCTGGATGGAGCTGGCCAGCGCAGGGAGCTCGGAAGCGGGATCGGTCCTATCGTTGGGACTTTTTGCAGAATTCTTACGGCTCCCCTTCTTCACGACGGATTTCATACGATCCTTCTTTACAATTTATTTTTCCCTCGAAAAACATCGTCGAGCGGGGGGGGGTGATACAACTTCAATGAAACCGCAAAAATTTCCTCATTTCCCTTCACTTCTCCATCATTTTCCCCTATTTTACCTGTTTTTCCCTATATTTCCATTATTTCGTGCTACCGAAACAGTACGAACAGTACGAACTCCCGCACCACAAAATTCAACAAACTACTAACCCCGTACTTGTGCCTCCGTAGTAGTTTTGTACTTTGGTACTTGTACCTCCGTAGTAGTTTTGTACCTTGGTACTTGTACCAACGTAGTAGTTTTGACCCTGCTCGGAGGTTGCTCGTTAATCTGGAATCACAAATCTTACACTTGAAAAAGACGAGCACGACCTCAGGCTCTCGCTTACCGAATAGAGGTAAAGAGTAGAAAAACTGTGCAGGATCGTATTTATCTGGAGTAAGCCGTTGAATTTTCAATTGGAAGTCATCTTTTAGAATTTAGAAACTGTGAGCAACTGAGTGTCAAGAAGGAGAAAAAGCGAGTCTCTGCCCTCCCAAATACACTTACAATGCCATTCAAAAATGCAATCACTATGAACCAGGAGCCTGCTGAGCGTGGGAGAGGCGTGCATCCGAGAAGTGTACATAATTCGTACCAGAGTCACTGAGAATAGAGCAGTCTAGGAATTGAGACGCATTAAAATGGAATGTTCCTAGTTTGATGGGTTATGCTAAGGTTGATGAGTAAGGTCAAACCTTCATGAGGGATTAGAAGCTTCAACGAAATGATTTGAAAGCACATCCACTGCTGAGCAAAGTATTTTGTACAATAGAACTCATCCTGAGGAGCCGTATACGCCAAGAATCCCATTGCAGTTCTATTTGAAGCTGCGACTCATCATGTTAAGTTGATGTCATAACATGGATTTTGAGTATTGAAATTACCACTCAAAAAGTGCTTCACAAGACAGGTGCATTCATCATAAGTTTGCTTTCAGCGTCGACGATGACAGCAGTTCAAGGACAACCTGCTGGAGGTAGGGCAGTTAACATTCGAACCCTACTCATAGCACCTTTGTGTTCAAAAATGCAAAGAGGCACAGCATCTATGTTCTGCTCAAGTTCTCCTTCCAGTTTCCGAATGTCCTAAGACAAAAGTGGTGGCTAAATAGAGCTGCTCCATTCAGATAACACACATCGTTTCACACACCTTTCGAACTGCTTTTCAATTGGTAAATAATGGTCACCAAAGATGCGCGCAACTTCTGAGTAGCCAGAGAAAACCGCTCAATAAGTAGTTTCCACAAAATCTCACGTCTCGCTAAAGGTGGAACCTAGCAAACTGAAGAATATGTGGTCTTTGACAACATCCTATCACTCCACTTCATAGATCACAAGTGGTGTGTTGCATTGCTGGTCTCTATAGACAAGTTTGGCGCACGAACCTGCCTCATATCAGAAATCCCCACTAAACTAAGCCACGTATGGAACATCAACTATTATCCTCGAACACCTTACCTATCGGGTTGTTAAAGGCAGCGGTTACGCTAGGTTTGAATGGGGTTTAGAGGGGACGAGGGGGTCCTCAATGGTACGTCAGTGGCGAAAGAAGCAGCGAAATCGGTCCAGGAAACGAGAAATGGGACCCCCTTTTGGGCCGTTTATTGCGGCTCTCAGATGGACTGCGGCGAAGACCGCGCACGCGTGGACGAGATTGCGCAACGCGTGCTGGGCAGCAAACAGCAGGCATGGCGCCCTAACCGCGCTGCGGCTGGCAACACGGCTCGCCCAAGCCACCGATGAATCATGGGGCGGGGCGGCGCATGGGGCGGAAGGGCGCAATGGTCCTGCTCAGCAACCACAGCACTGTTCGCAGTGCAAGCGCCACACATCGCTTCCTTGGCGGCCTGCTAGTTGCTCTGTGGGGAGCAGGTTCTCCGCAGATGTGAAAATTCCTTTCCGTACCTACTTCCTTTAAGCATTGGACATTACCCACCACACTCCCTCAATACCCCTCCCCGACGCCTACCCGTGTCATTCGCCATAGTGCATCCGTTAATCATCCACGACTGCGCAAGGGTCCGGACCTGTCATTACGACAGCGAATCGATCCCTGCTCGACCTAAGCAATTGCGAGCTAAATTTTCCCATCTTTGCAAAGGAGCGATATGCATCCACTAATTTATGATAACCGTTGAGCAGTTCACATTCTCGCTTCGCGCGTTATGTTTCAGGGACGTTTCATGCACCAAGTCCAGGGCATTCAAAACCACGGTCCAATTACACGTTTAGAAAAAGTGGTTCTTACTTCCACGCGGCTCGGCGCTCTCTTTTCTTTTGGCGCGTAACTCTATGAACTGCTCGATCTCTTAAAGCAACAGTTCAGGGAGGGTCCGAAAATTTCAATGCCACTACTACTGAGGGATACACGAGCCCTAGTGAAGAACATATGCAGTGGAAATAATAAACGAACTTACCTCAGAAACTCAAAAACAGGGTGGAAAGTCCCTCAAACATGGGTGTTCTTGGGGATTTCCCCAATCCCGCCCCCTTGCCGGCCGTCATTGGACGCGTCGGCAATCGTGCTCGTTTTGGGACCACAGGGAAAATTGATTGAAAAATGGAGCGCGTTTACAGCGGGCACGTTCAGACAACTCGTCCAACGTGCGTCTTTATCCATTGCTGAGCGGCAGAGGGAGAGTACCTGTCTAAGACCCTCCCCGACGTTTTTTTCCAGTTTTTCATACATTAATCGTCTGGTTTTCATCTACAACTTCATTATTGGTGGTTTTTTCCCGCGAAACCGTTCCTGAACTGTTGCTTTAAGAATTCCTACAAGGTTACAAACCTCGAACGGCTTATACCTACTCCATTTCCTAAGTTTACTTTTTATGGGCAATTTGTTCAACTTTCAACTTTGCAACTTTGTTCATCGGCAATCAAAAGATTAAGTTACCGACCTCCAAGAGTGAAAACTCGCATGTAAATTTCAATTTCCCCGACAATTCCTCGACGTTTCCAACTTTTGAAATAAGGCTTACTTGAAAGGCTCAGCACTGCTCAAACACTAGAATACTCATGCATTCAGATACTGTTTTTCATCTTCTAAAATGATTGCAGCTGAAGAAAGTTATAGTTCAAATGAGAGGTGCTCCGGCGATTTTTTCAACTAGCGCGCTCTAGGCACAACGCGCGACGCGACCGTTGATTGCCGCTACACCGGAGCACAACATTGTTGAACAGCCTTTAGGCAGCACTCTCTTCCCCTTTCTATCCTGTTCTGCTCTAGTAGAAGTCTAATCCCTGCTCTTATTTTGGTTTCTCATTCGTTAGTCCGTTTTCAGATCCAGTTCTTCGAAAAACACTAGCCTGTGCAAAGTTAGGTTCAGGATTTGAATCATGGAGCATTCGTATGGCAGCGGCGCTGCCTCCCTCTTGTACATCTGAAAATAACATTTTTTATTATGAAACCGAATGTGCAGGGACAAAGGGGTCGTATCGGAGTCTTTGATAAGGGGAGGCGGTCGTAAAGAGGCGGCCATTTCCTCGTCACGATTTTCACCCTGGCTGTTACCCACGATCTCCACTGCTGTTGCTAAACAATAATGCAGGTGAGTGGATGGGCTCGCCGCCATCATGCTCGGAAGCTTCTAGTTGGGGCGATTTCAATGGGCCTGCTTGAGCTCGTCGATGATGGCGGACGACCTCAAATTTTGAAGACAATTAGAGCAGTGAACGAGGGGTTGCTTCTACTCATAGGAGGGAGCGTGATAAATGAGGAGCATGTGCCGTAAAGCTTTCATCAATAAGGTGCCTTGTGCGACGTAAAGTTTGGTGATGCGCACCATGAGCAAAACGACTTTTCTGCCCCTCCCCTGCACTTTTTAACTGATAAATGTGCTGAGGAAGAAAAATAAATTTGAAAGTACATTGAAAAATGTGCTAAACATAAGAGTTTTCCGACAGCCTAATATGTCGTTAAGTGTATGTTAAGCGTTATGTGTATGTTAAGCATCAACTATGACCGCCCTCAAACCTGCTTCAACAATGACAGCTCTTCCTGGTGCTGGTGTTCCTTCCGCCATGACTGCTGTAGCAGCTCCACCCGGTGGAGGTAATTGTTTGCTAAATTGTTGCTAACAATAACTAACTTCAAGCTCAACTCAGTACCAACCAATAGATCCTCCGACTTTAGCTCTACCGAATCTTAAAACTATCACAATTTTCCAGCCTCCACAATGACTGCAGTTCAAGGACAACCTGCTGGAGGTAAGAGTGTATGAATAAAGCTGCTCTCGACACCTCTCTCATATCCGAAAATTCATGCTGTTGAGCTTCTCACAACGTGAATCAAATCTGAACGTGCAGCACGTTGCTTATTAATGTGATTCATATAGGACTTAGTATGAGCAAATGTTACACAATCAAGCACTAAGGCATAACGTCATTTGCTAGAAATTGTAGTACTATTGGACACGCCCTTTTGGACTATACTGGCGAAATAGTATAGTGCGTACAAACTGGAAAATATATCGGAGAGCAGAACCTGAGCAATTCAATTTTTTAGCCGAAGGTTCTTCGTCACCTTCACCTATCTCTCTCACTATAAGCATGTGGCTCTGAGCCTGGAAATTCGAGCAGAAAGACCTCTCCGACACTGAACTTCTCTTAGCAGCTAGCCAGTATTGATCGAACGAATAGTTACAGATGGGCTTAGACTGTTGATGAACGAACAGTGTAGGAGAACTTCCAAGTTTAGTTTCCTCTACAAATCGAATTTGCGTAGGAAGCTGAACGTTGTAGGGGAAAGAGGGGGAAGTACTATTTCTCTGACAAATTACGTTCATGGCATAAGATGGGTAGTGATTGTTTCCTGGTAGTTTCCACCAGACCGCTATCCGCGGCTCGCATCCGTTGTGGTGTGATCTACTTCTTAAATTCTTTTTTCAACTAAAATTCCCGGACGTTATTTGGGGCACCGACTCTCCAATATGATTTTCCCTACAAATATTGCACAAAGATCGATGATGTTCACCAGCCGCCCTCCCGTGTTCGAAATCTCAGTACATGGAAATACACATTTTAAAAAGCTGTTTCACTTACTAACAATTCGTGCTGGAAATCACCCAACCTGCAATCGCTAGTATATAAATTTATGCTTGAGATCAATTCTGGGAACAAAGTTTCAAATGTGGTATTAAGCCTCGACGATGACTGCTCTCAAGCCTGCTTCAACGATGACGGCTCTTCCAGGTGCTGGTGTACCTTCAGCCATGACTGCTGTAGCAGCCCCACCTGGCGGAGGTATACGCTTTTCTCATTTTAACTCAACAAAAAGTCACTACGAGAGACGGTACCGTGCAGTGAAGTATGCATTCTTAACTTTCTTTAAGCATAACTTCCTCAAAACTCAAACTTTTGGGGTAAAACTTGAGCAGTAGATGAGCCAAACAACTAGCAGCATTGTATTTGTGTAACGGTGCGATCTTCCCCCAGAGACTGATGCTTTATTCGTAGTGTATTACTAACCAGCACTCATTTTCAATTCTGATGACTGTTGGGTTTTTGCGTAAAGTTTCCTGCTTTTGCCATTTCGTATTATTTTCATGTGCCTCGTCCATTGCTCCGACTAGGCCGAGGCATACGGGAATTCATAACTTGTTGTATACCAGGTTGACGGCATCATTTGGGGCTTAGCGAACGAATAAGAACGATGAAGGGACCATGAACACTAGCACCTAGGCAAGGCGATCCAGAATAAGTCGAGGCGTAGACGATCAGGAAAAAAATCCATGTTCAAAGGGTCCGTCGAAGTCAAAACGCATGCAGGAGCAGCAAAACAACTATTCGTCCGGCTGACGAAAACACCGTGCAGCTCGCAAGGAGCAACCCACGTCGCACTGCAGCCGAACTCGCTGCCGGGTCTCACAATCAGCGTCAACCTAATATCGTCCGTTGACAGGGTACGACGTCGTCTGAGAGACTCGGGCGTGTTTAGAGGTCACCCAGTGAAGAGGAACTAATTCCCATTTTGAACAGGTAGGGTGTTCCTGTCCAGAAAAAAGTTAAAAATTTTGAAATATTCCAAAGTTGACCTCGTCAACTGAGGATTTGCTGCGATCACTCACGAGCGCTCATAGCGAACAAAAGGCGAAAGAAGGGCAAAAGCGTGAGTTCCGAGAGTTACATTCAAAAAATGAAACTTCACTGCACGGTACTGTAGAGTGAATTTCAATAGATTCTCCAGTTCAAGGGCGACTATGAATGCTTATGCTCAGTATTCCAATAAAAGTACTGCTATTTGGAACTACAAAACTTTTTCAGCTTCGACGATGACTGCGGTCCAAGGGCAACCTGCTGGAGGTAAGAAGTGTGGATGATTCAAAGGCAAAATTCGCGATAAAAAAGGCTGTAGTCCTAATCAGTGTAATGTGTGGGTGCTAAGTTACACGCAGTTGAAGAAAGAACAACAGCCTGATTAAGAACCTTCAAACTAGGGGCTGTTTCCTCAAAAGACATCTGTCACAAATGTTGGCGGCGGGAGCGCTTCCAATTGGTTCTCGGAGTGCCGCAACTAGCAACTCATTTTTACCTCCTGATTTATTGCACTAACATCTCTCACTTCTACTGCATCCTATTCTGTCGAAGTTAGTTCTCCAAAATCAAACGCTTTCTAAATCTTTCTTATGGCGTCGCCTGATAGCAACGGTTACACCCTCAAGGCAATTTTCTTTTCCTCCGAACAATCGCCGCGAACCCTACCATCGACGTCCATTAGAACAATTGTAGGTTTTCTATATGTAATGTTTCTCTGTACCGATACTATCGTTTCGAGAGAATGTATGCTTGAATTCATTCACTTTCGCAATATGAACACCAAAGAGTGTAATCTCATCCTAATACGATGACTTCTATTTAAGATCCTCGACCTAGCCTTAGTCTTCATGCGAGAAACGCTATCGATTCAAGGTTCACGAACCCTATCTACCTGCTTTGCCTGCTAATAGTCCGTTGGCTTCATAACCGCTGGCAGTCTATGGACGCGCCCGTGTGGAGAATACCTGGGCTACACTAGGCGGGTAGATCTGTGCAAATGGGAACTAGGATACATATCCAGTCGCTGAAGCCAACCTTTAAGGAGTAGGGGAACAGTCTCCCGCTTATGCTCTTGAAAAAGCTTTGCGATCCAATGCCTGATCTTATTTTCGAAGATACCTGAAAAAAGGACGCTGCACTCATTATTAGAAGGGAGAACTGGACTTTGCGTGTTGTACGATTTCAGTCCACCATGCATATCGTCCAATCAGCTCATTATATAAACTGCAACTTTGGTGTGTCGGTTTGTCGGTGTGTGTGTGCGTGTGTGTCGTTCTGTCCGTCCGGACCAACCGCTAACAGAAACCGGGGAGTTGGAAGGGCACACTTCGTGATGTTGATGTCACGATTATGATAACACACAGCGGCTATATAAACACCGATCGAGCACACTCAGTCTCATTCTACATGGTGCTGCCGGGCAGCAGCTGGAAGGGGGGGGTAGAAGGGAGGGAGCAGGGAAAGGGGAGGGCAGGAGCGGGGAAGAGGGGAGGGGGAGAGGGAGAAGTAGGGATTGAAAGAGAAGAGAGGAGAAAGGGAGGGAGGATATGCTGCTGCCGTGGCAGCGAGAGGAGCAAGAGGAGAGGGTAGAGGAGGGGGTGGAGTGGGAGAGGACGTAGGGAGGGAGAACAACCGCTTCTATCTCATTCTGTTATTATCCACACGTGGAAGGGCCGCATCAGAAAACGTGAAGCTTACGCAGGAAAGCAACGTCCCGGCGGTTGACGGGGGAACCACTCTGGTCTATTCTATAAAGGGTTTGATCCCATAATCCTTCATTCATAATACATGCTAGAAATTTTAAGAGCTTCCAAATTTGAATTATGTTTGCTGACGCGGACACCACGTTCGCAGTTTCGCAGCGACTCAAAGTTTCTTGGGGAGGCATTGTGCCTGCAGCGTACTCACGGGATTATTGCACTCTTTTCAAGCTTCACGTATGGCACTGCAGTTCAAGGGCAACCTGCAGGAGGTAAGAATTATGATTGATCTTAAGGTAAAACCCGCGATCAAAAAAAGGGGGGGGGGGAGGTAATCCTAATTACCTGCAGGTTATGTGTGCTATGTTACTGCAACTGTAGGAAAAGGAACCTTATCGAGGAAAATGCGTACTAGGAACAGTAGGGTGCTTCAAAAGTAATGTCACACGGACAATTCCTGAGCACTTACAACCAAGATTCAGAACACGACAACGTCTACTTTAATGCAATTCTTACCTCGAAGATTGCTGCTCTTTTACTTATTTATCTTTCAGCTCAAAATAGCGACGTACAGCTCGCAGGTTCAATGAATCTCGTTCCCAAAAGCGCTGGCTTGAATTGTCAGTGTGATAGAATTGGAGTCACTGAAAACTAGCTCTGCATCATAGGCTAGGTAGTTATATGAGACCTATTTTCCCATAAGGCAGCTATTGGAATTCGAAACCTCTGAAGTAGCGCATTGACATGGAGGACACGTTCGAGGTACACGATGTTCTGTCGCCTTGCCTGGACCCTATGTCACAATGCTCATATATCAAAAGTGTTTATGAAGGTGACGGATCGCTGCCATTTAAAGTACAAATGCGGAGTGGTTTCCTATCGTAACTGGGAATGTTCGCTGTTCCCGAACTTCGAGTAGGCTGTAAGATTTTCTTACGAAGTCCTTTACGGGTTGCTCATTTCCTGACGGATGATTCTTCATGCATAAGTCCCGCGGCAAGTACATTGATGGTAAGATGAGCCTGACACTCGCAGAACAATTACATGCGTTTTACAACCCTCGTTACTCAAACCCATACCCACTAGCAACCGAAATTTTCGTAAACGTTGCAGCCATTTCGCGAAGTTTAGAATTTCGTAAACGTTGCAATCAATTTCGTCATTCTTGCAAGCAATTTCGTAAACTTGCAATCAATTTCGGCAAAAAATTTCGCTGAAACTTATCCTACAGGGGTTATCGAGGGTCCTGATCACGAATGTGACATCCATTTTTGGCGCTGGCGCCAAATTGGCGCCATTTGGCGCCAGGTTCGCCACGACTGATTCCACAAATTCGCTGTAAACTTGTGTATAGGGGTTATTTGAGCCCTGATTACGAATATGATATTCATTCTTGGCGCTGGCGCCATTTGGCCTCTATTCCCACTCGTCCGCGCCCTCTCACCGGTTAGATCGGGAAATGTGCGTTGAACAGCGCTTATGCCAAAAGCGAAAGTCCAGATCGATCAGGCTCGAAATAACCCCTACACATATGTTACAGCGAATTTGCTGGGAATGAATCATGGCGAAACCTGGCGCTAAATGGCGCCATTTTGGTGCCAGCGCCTAACCCTTTCCGGACCGCCTGGGCTTCAAATGACTCAGGGACTTAAAGGTTTCTTGTTGTTACATATCTATGTAATCCACACATGTCATACGTAATGATACGTGTCATAGAAAGATCTGAGCTTCAATCTCAAACTAGTTCTTGAAATAACTAAAAACTAAGTGAACTTCCACTCTGAGCTCAAACAAAACAGTTATAAATTCATTTGAAAACACTTCATACAAAAGAATTTATGCACCACGTGCATTTCGTATCTGATGCTTTAATCCAAACGTTTCGGACACTTTCTGGTCCCTTTTTCCCCATACAACTTATTTTGAACAATTTTCATCTCCTGCCTCCCTTTTGTGGCCCTATCACTTTTTTACAAACAGTTTTCTGTCAAATTACCTTATATATTCTTCGAGACATGACAAAGACATAAACGAGACAAAATAATGGCTTTAGTGGGAATACAGATTAAATATATGATATTTATGCTTGCCGCGCAGCATGCGGCCGCCAGCGCAAAAAGTGCGCGGTCCGGAAAGGGTTAAAATTGGATGTCACATTCGTGATCAGAACCCTCGATAACCCCTGTAGGATAAGTTTCAGCGAAATTTTTTTTTTGCCGAAATTGATTGCAAAGTTTACGAAATTGCTTGCAAGAATGACGAATTGGGCGTTAGAATGACGAAATTGATTGCAACGTTTACGAAATTGGCTGCAAGGTTTACGAATTGGGGTGGAAAACCCTGTAGCTACTCATGAACTTCCTTTGCTCCCTTTGTGAAAAAAAGCAATGATGGTTGTCTTCTCGAAGTGGCTTATGACATAGTTCCTCTGTAAAACGGTTGCTGGCAGCATCAATGAGAGACTTCGAAGTCGCTCAGGTTCGGACAATTTCCCGAATTACTAGCCCCCCGCTAGCAGCCGGCTCAATGCCAGAAAACAGAAACATCCCTAGGCACTCCCTCGGTCGTTTCACATGAGCAGCCGAAGGGCAATTGAGGTAAAGGAAGTTTCATTCTATAAACGATGCATCTGGCCTCCCTCGTTACTATACACGACATCATTTTGTGAATACGCATATATTCCACGAAGTGCTGAAATCATGTGTGGAATTGAGCACAGCGGAAAACTTACGCAGGAAAAAATTGAGTTCTGACAGTTGCCGAAGACATAGGTGGCACGTTTCTAAGCCGCTCGAACCTACCATTTCAGATTCCTCAAAATTGAATGAAATTATGTTATCCAAGAAACTGTACTAAATATTTGTCGACAAGGGGCGTTCTTTTGGAAAAACACTTTCTTCGCAAGAAGAAAATATCGTGAGGCGGCGTGAGACCGGAACACGAAAACGGGGAAAACTAGCGTCTCAACCTACATTAAAGAATTGTGTTTTACTTTTTTTTGAGAATAAAACATTAAGTGTAGCGTGTTAAGCCTCGACAATGACTGCTGTCAAACCTGCTTCAACAATGACGGCTCTTCCTGGTGGTGGTGCTCCTTCAGCCATGACTGCTGTAGCCGCTCCTCCCGGCGGAGGTATTTGTTCACCATAGTTGTCTAAGCTATTTATTATATATTAAAATATACTTTCACTAAACAACAAGTTGTCTAGCGCAGACGCGAATGCATTTTTTATTGTCTTTTCTTTTATTTCATTTGTTGATCAATCACCGAAAGAAGGGCAGTCACAGTCTCGTAATTCATGCCAATATACTCAATAGTCAAAAAAGAAGACTACTGAGATAAAATTCCATAAGGCTACATTAACAGACTTTGCCTGAGTTGGTTGAAAAGAGGAGTCTGTACATAGTTCCCATAAATCCATTACTTATGAAGCTATCGCACCTTTTCAGCTTCCACGATGACTGCAGTTCAAGGACAACCCGCTGGAGGTAAGCGGTACAATACTCATTTTACGATGCCTAGGATAGCTCAATTTCCGTATAAAAATCCGGATTTGGGAAAATTCCAGCAGGTTGGCATTGCGGTGCAGAGCACACCAGACAAGCGCGAAAGTTAAAGCAACAGTCCAGGCAGGGTTTCAACCATTTGGTTTTCAAGTGGTGGAAACATGCCTCAGCCTGATTGGAGTTCATGGGAAATGTCACAAACTTCAAAACTTACCTCTGAAAGGCGTTGGAAGCAGTCGAAATCCTTCAGAGGGGCGGATCCACCGATCCGTGGTGGGGCCGCCTCCAAGCAGCTGTGCAGAGCGCTTGCTCGACTAGCGGTCGTTGCGGGACCGCCGCGCTGTATGAGGTCGATTCCATAAGAACGCAATTGAAGCGCTTCAATTTCGATTGCTGGCAAATAGTTATGTATTTGCAAGCATGCATGGCTATTTGCCAGCAGTTGCAATTGGAGCGCATGTACTACGGGCAGGTTCGGACAACTCGTCCAACACACGTCTCCCTAAACGGCAGGGGGAGTCCCTGTCTAAGCCCCTGCCCGACGTTTTTTTCTACTTTTTCTTTCTCCATTGACCAACTTCTCACCTGCAACGTCATTATAGGTGGTCCTTACCCGCGAATTCGTTCCTGGATTGTTGCTTTAAGAAGGTTTCCTCTACGCCTAACAAAGGGCTCGTTCAGGGTGCGAGCTCGGAGGCTGCGTGCTGGTGTCAAGCTTTTTCGAAACGGTTTTTTGGATGCTGTGGGACGTCCACGTGTACTATAATATTGTGTTTCACTTTCGTGAGCGG